CCAGATTGAAAATCACGAATCAAAGAACGATTGAAATCAATAATAAACGATAATAAAATATAAAATGCTTTTAATAAAACCTTTAAGGAAAGACGATACACGAAGTCGAGATATGATGTCTTTCCTTAATTTTTTAAATCTCCCGCAGTGTGGCGGTTTGATGAGATTCAGAATCCCAGGATACAACCGTATTGAGACTAAAGTCGCAACACTCGACTATAGAATCTGCGAACTTAAAATTCTACGCTATACTCTCGAGACTTTCTAAGACTGTAGAGACGAGAGGGATTTGCTGGAGTTTATGTTTGAAAGCTTATTGCTTTTCTGGATGAAGAATAATGAATGAGAAAGGTCCTTATTTATAGTGGAAGAGAGGTTTGTGATACAAGGAATTTTCCTTATTACTCACAGCAGATAAACGGAAATATTCTGAATATCTTTGTTCATTGTTCGACAAGGTTAAGGAAAAACAGAAATATTCCGAAAACCTTTATTCCTTGTTTGACAGAGGAAACAGAAATATTCCAAAAAATCTTTATTCCTTATTTGACAAGGATAAGAGAAATGAAAATATTCCGTAAAATAATTCGACTCAATCAATAAAGATTTATCGATATTATACAAAATTATAAATGGAATATTAACAATTTTATTAAATAAGTCAATAAAGATTTATTCCAAAAAAGAAATTTTTTTATGGTTTTGCATAATAACCCTCATACTTCCAATATATAACAAATGCACATCTTGACTTTTAGTCTTAATTACATATCTATTTTGACCATTTATTTCTTATTCAAATTAACTTCGATTTTGACAAGTAATTACACTTTCTATTAGTGCTCATTATAAAAATTTCAAAGAATCCATAATTGTCAAAATTTAAGTTCCAACAGGACCAACTTTGATTCTTCGACCCCTATATTCTTAAAAAGTCGAATCGTATTTTCTGAAATCAACTGAGACTTTAAGCCATTTTTATACGTTCTGTAGTTTACTACTTTAGAAGATTATGCAAAGATGACTACAACTGGAAAATACAGTAGAATAAACACGACAAAGTAGAACAAGAGATGATGCTTTGGAACGGAATCTTTTTTCTATTCAAGAAAACGTGTGATTCGTAACTTTACCGATTAAGACAAATTTATGAGCGATAGATTTAAATGACTTGAATACGTCGGTCTCTCTATTTTCTAGAACCAGCTCTTGGGTACGTCGGCTTAATAAGTTAAGAGAGAAGATATTTGACCGGTTGAAATAGAATCATGCTTTTCTTTGAATAAAATGGTCACAAGAAGCTAAAAAGAAAAAACGACGACGTCAACAAAAAGAAGGAACAAACAAAAGAATATACTGACAATAAAATACGGTCACGAAAACTAGAGAACGTATTTTATTTTTAGACCATGATAATAGTTTTTATATTGAAATTTTTAATCGGTTAAAAAAAAAAATAGTCGGTTTATATACACGTCGTATATTTTCGTAAAGCAAGATTTGGTACCAAAACAATTAAAGGATAAACAGGTAGAAAGCTAAATATTGGGTTTTAATTAGGAAAACAACATCACTCAAATGAGTTAGAAGAAACTAGCTAAAGGGTGACGAACAGTGATTTATGGATTTGATTATTTATGTTTGATGTCATTGTATGCGCGTGGGGTAGAAAACTAACTAAATATGTACAACTGAATAAAGTAAGAAGAGGTGTTAGCAAAATCAGATAACTGTAGGTTTGGCATTAAATGAGGAGACAGGATATTCTCCTCGCCGCCTGACGTATGCATGAAATAGTCTGAGGTGATGTGTAGTTAATGCGATATAGTAATGCTTCAACAAGAAGTTTTCGAGGGACGTGACAGAAAAATAAAAATATCTCGGTACACCTAGGTTTGTGGAGTGTCAGCTGATAACTTGGAGAATGAATGTACATATTATATACGTGATAAACATATACATATATTATAATGTAGCGTGTTATTTGATATGATAGAGGTGTATGTTTCTAAATGAATAGCGTAAACTAAATGTAAGTCTACAAAGAGTAATAGTTATCTACTAATTTTGATAGATGGTTATTGTCTAGTTTGTAGTGTTATTCAAAATGAAGGGTAGTTTTATGTATGAAGAAAAATGTACATATATATTATATTATAACATGTAATTTGATCTGATGGGGGTTTATAATGATAAATGAGTAAAGTAAACTAAATGTAAGTGTACAAGATGTTGTAGTTGTCTACTAACACTGAGAGACGATTACCAGCTGTTTTGGAGTGTTATTTAATATAATAGGTAATTACATGTATGAAGGGGAAAACTATTTACTTTTAAGTTTACAATATGTTATAGATATCTAACTACATTTAAGCCATGTGACAATCGCAAACTCGCGTAGAGAGGATTTGATTGGCTTCCCCCGAATATAGACCAAATCTCATGCTTTTTGACATTGTTAGGCTGTCTGGTTAGAAGAAAGTGGGCAAGTTTCACAGATGGAGCGGTTTTATGGTACAAGCCAAGCAGCTTTCTAAAGCATGGACATATGACATTCAGTTCCTCCGATGTGAGGGCTTTGAGAACAGCACCAATTGATTCAAGCTTAAAGTACGAGTTGACCCTGCCACCCATTGGCTCTTGATGATCTGTAAATAGACGATGCAGGAGATCATTGGTAGCCATACCTGCACAGTAAAGGATAGTAAAAAGTTATCAGATAAACAGACAAGTTTAGATAATGTTTTGTAAGATCTAAGTGCGGTGATGGATGTCTATTTATCCGAGATGATGTACATATATAAATATGAACTCTATACTGTGATTTAGATATCCTATGGAATCAGATAACTAGATAATTTTAAATGATATTTTTAAGGTCTAACTAAGGTGATAAACGAATATTTATCCAAAATAATTTACTTATTTAAATGTGAATTCTATATCGTGATTTAGATATACAATAAAATCAAATAAACATGCAAGTTCTGATATATATTCAATATAAGGTACATACATATATGTTCACATAAAAATATATACCTCCATTAAAGAATATAGATTTGTAAAAAGTAAAGTAAGCATACATAAACTAACATAGCATATATGTATACAACATATGATATATACAAACATTTGAGATCTGACAGATGTGAGAACAAGATCAAAGCAATAGCTTAAAATGCTGGATTAGAGCGATCGCTCAGTTAATCAATCCATAGAGCGAGATCAATCAAATATGATCTCGAAAACCCAACGATGAGTGTGAGAATAAGATCTTACTTGGGAAAAAATGGAGAATCTCAGAAGTTAGGTTTCGGCAGAAACAGAAAAGTTGATGGCTCTGTAACCCTAGATCTGATGGTATATTGATTGTTTTGAGATGATTTTCCGTTATCGGAGATGTATGTGGACGAGTAGCGAGAACGATGCCAATGATGTGGAGAGTGAAGATTTGGCCGAGGCGGTGGTGGTCAGATCGGAAATAGATAATGAGATCATCTTGGCCTTGTTGGAGCCACCGAGATGGTGTCGTTGAAAAGAAAGAAATTGGGGTCAGAAGGTACCAAAAGAGAAGAAGAATTACATTAATGAAGAAAGATGAAGGTGGATGGTAAATAGATAAGGATAAGATAAACAATTGTTGCAATCAAATAAATATTCAGTGGAATAACATGATACAAATAGATAGCGCATAGGAGTATTTTGGAGAGAGAGAGTGTGGTAAAATATTTTAATGTTTGGACAGAAAAATACTATTGTCGATTTTTACTACTGGTCTTTTGCCAATGGTATTTCCCAAAAATTAATTGGTGAAAGAAAATTTAGAAGTTTGTTTTGTTTTCTGATGTCCGACAATCGAAAACGTTTCAACCAACACATAAGCGATACTTCATCATATAATCCTCAATTTTTATTTCACTTGAATATCGAATCAGTATTAAAACGTCAGATATTAACTTTATTTATTATTTTTAATTGGTTCAATAATATTGTTACATTAAAATATACTCTATTTGTTTCATAATACGTGTCATTTGGAGAAAATGTATCTGCAATGTATCTGAATGTATTAAACTCAAAATACATCCAGATACATCCAGTTACAATGCAAATACATTTTCTTCAAATGACACTTATTATAAAACAGAGGAAATACTTTTTAACAAGTATCTGATATGTCTTGGTTATAACTATAAATAGAGCACTCCTCCGGTAATGCTAATTCATTTTTAGTAACGTTTTCAGAAAAACTGAATTAAAAAAATGGCTCAATCTCTTTCCCTTTCTAGACGTCTCTCTTGTTTCATCTCCAACACGATTTCACGGTAAGTCCTTTTATATTACTCAAATCTTAAAATCAATATTTGTAATGCTTAAATGGATCAATCCATTTTTATGGTCATATTAGTTTAAGAGTTGTTATATCGTGTTTTGGACATTATAATCTACTACTTGGATGATAGAGATTTTTCATTTAGTATCTACTGTCTACCTTTAAATGATTTAGATATTATTTTGTCAATAATTATGACAATGCTTTTGTTATTATCGTAGAAGAAGATACTCAGCAAAAATTACAGGAGAAGCTAGAGTGATGAGAGGAGAAGAGTTGAAGAAGACAACAAATAAGAAAGCTGCCAAAACGAACGTAGAGAAGCCATCGTGGATACCAGATCCACAAACCGGTTACTATAGACCGGATACCGGTTTGGTTAACCCCCGGTCGGTCCACGGGGTTGAATGAGAGAATCTTTAGTTATTGTATTGTATCGAAAGTTTTTTGTTCAATCCCATCAAATTGATTCTTAAGAGAATTTAATACTGGAACTGAGGAGATCCTAAAGAGTTTTTTTTAACTAATCATTTTATGTTTTGTCAATACAAAATAAAAAGGAATGATAAAACAACTCTATGCTAATACTGATACACATTAATCATTAATGTTACAACAAGCCAATCCCACACTCGATTGGACAATGGCTACACAAAGTCAAGATTCACGGATCAGACCCAGTTTTGTTGATGGTCTGATTCTGTCCCTCTAGCAAACTTATTTGTCGCCTCAGTTTCGCAATATGAGCTTGAACCTAAAAAAAAAACCGATCCAAATCATCAAAACATACACAAGAAAAAAGTAGATAACACATCTTTATTCAATCTTTGGTTATAATCACCTGTTGACGAGCAGCAGCGAGCTGTAATAACTCATCTGCTTCAGAGAAGCTCGTGAACCATTGTCCCAAACTATGATCTTTCGTATCACCTCTCTTCTTTTTCCCACTATCTTCGACTTGCACTATAAACAATTACAATTGCGTGAGAGACATTTCAAGACATGATCAAACTAAAGAAGAAGCAGAAGGTAGAATGGTAGATAAGAAGAACAGCATACTAGGAGCAGGCAAGTTGTAGCCAGAAGGTAATCTCGGAAACGTCAGAGCCGGGTGATTCTGAACTCTAGCTAAAAAGCTTTCAGAAGGATCAGGAAACACAATCTCGTCGTAAGATTCAACAACCACAGGCTTCTTCATTGTCAAAGGACCTGACTCATCTTCAGGGTATAACTTTAAGTGATGATATCTGTTTCAAACCAACTATACAAGTCACTGTTCAATACAGCAACATTGGGATAAAGAGATAAAGCTAATGGTGCTTACAAACTCAATGGCTTGTCACAGACATCGCTGTGGAAATGCAAAGTGATTGCAATCTCGAATTCTCCCCAACCTGATTCGGATACTTCGAATGGAGGCTCCTCGATAACTCGTGTAGGGCTATTGAAACTGGAGTGAAGCTGGAAGACAACTTTCTTCACTACAACACTGATATCTTCATTTGTTGCCCCACGCACATATACTGCCCATTTGTGAGATTGGTATCTGCAGAATCATAATGCAAGAAAAAATCAAAGAAAATTTTATGAAAACAAACATTTTTTTTTAAAGGGTGTTGTTAAAATGTAAACTTTTTCATTTGGGATTAAGAAATTTTCTTTCACCATTCTTAAAGAAGTAAGACTCTTTAACAGAAACCAATAAACCCAAATGGAAAATTTCAAAAAGTAGAGAACTTACTCGCTAGCCTTCTTGCCAAGCCAGAATGCAACATTACCATACACAAGTGGAACACTTATTTCGATGTCTTTAAGCTTCTTCTGCAATTTACACACAATAGAAAGATATTATGACTCTGAGTAGTTCCCAAGCTTTTAATCATGACCAATTCCGCAACAATGGCTAAAGGTTTCATCTTTACACTACATTTGAAGAGCTTACAGAACAATAATTAAGTGGAATCTCTCTTCTGGGTTTATGCTGTATTCGATTGATGATGAAACTTAAAGCTGATAACAAAACACAAACCTTTTCCTCGGATTTACTCATTTTGTTTCTTTGCGATTTGGAAGTGGATCCGCTAGTTTCAGGCTGGTCTTGGTCTTGTTTCTTCGATGACGAGCTATTCGTCATTCCTTCTGTGAAATTAAGGATTTCATTCGGACGAAAGTTGGAAACTTCGGTTCGGTTATCACCTCAGAAATCTCTTTATCGACTAATTTGCCGATGGTTTCATACAAAAAAAAACCGATCCAAACGGCGATCTCGACAGGACTGTTTCTTTCGCCAATTTCGTTTAGGGTTTTTTAAAAATTAGTATTAATTTTAGGGAGTTTTTATCTTATGTGTAAGGCCCAGTTCGTTTTCATAATTTTTTTTTTTAGGAAATAAGCCCGTTTGGGATAATTTTTAGTAAAGTAAAAGATTAGAATAATCCTGATACCCAAACACTCCCTAATCATTTCTCCAAAACCTCAACACTTTCAATCTCTTTTACAGTTTATCGAAAAGATTGTCTTCCTTGGAGACGACAATGCAGAGGTTTTGCACTAAGCTACGTTCCATTTCCGCTCAATCAAGTCGGAATCTCTCTTTTATCGGTGCTCCTCACCGTCTGATCCACCATTCTCCGTCTTCTCAATCAACCCTAGGTTTCGCTACGACGAGCAAATGGAGCTTCCTTCCCGCCGCCTCGCTTGGCGGAGTTTCTCCGTTGAATCCTAGCTCCATGGGCTCTACCTTTCTTCCTCATCATGTAAGTCTCTAGAATTCGACACTTTCCTTCACTGTTTTGTTTAGTGAGCTGGGCAAGAAAAACGAACACGAGAGTTTTTCAATTAGGTTAGGATTTAGCTGCAAATGCTCTATATCGCTACTTCTTCTGCTGATTGAGGAAATTTTGATTGTATTAGTTGCTTCTATAGTATCTATACTTTCGATTTGTTGTGTGAAGCTCTTGAGTTTTTGCGTCCATGTGAAATAGAATCGTACTGGCTCTGAATAGGGGAAATGGATGATTTTGTTCATAGTCGCTCTTGCATTGTGATATCATGTTCTTTAAGCCAACTTGATAAAAGTGTGTTGCTTGGATACTATTACTACCGATTAAGTGTAAACTTCACTCAAATCTCATATATGTACGTACACACATGTATGCTATGGAATCTAAACATTCGATTTGTAGCGTACAGTTCTCAAATCTTCGTGTCCCTTGTTTGATCATGGTAAACATAATCGTCCTGGCTTAATTGTGGGTTATCTGCAATAAGGCAAGGGTTTAGGTAGTTCTTGCATTTTTGATATCATGTTTCGTTAAACGAAATGATTAAAGCAGATGCTTGGATCAGATTAAGTATTCAGGTCTGTGATCAAGATGTTGCAACTTGCACATGTAGTTGAAATAGTGAAGATGTGTTAATTCGGTTTCTGGTTGAATCTTAAATATCCATTTCACAGTAAAAAAAATCAACAGTCATATGTTTCTCCTAGTGTGTGCAACATCAATTTATATCTCTGATGGCTGATCTTATTTATGCGTTTTTTCGACTTTCGTTCTCTCTTGCATTCAGTTTGTTCAAGTACGGAATATCAGTTCCAAGGAAAAAATGGCGAAATGGAAGAAGAAGTGGAGACCTAGGACTCCGATCACATCAAAAGTGAAGAAAATCAAGATCAAGTTTTATTCGTACGTTCTGCTTCCAAGATTAGATATCATCATATAGTGTTTTAAGTGAAAAGTTTGTGCGTGTCTTTCAACAAGTAAATGTGTGGAATCTATATATCTCAGGTCATACAAAGACAGGTTTAGACCACTCAAGGATGGTACCATCCGTCGCTGGAAAGAAGGCAAGCGCCACAACGCACACTTGAAGGTAATCTAGACCTTATTCCTTATTGTATTATATAAAAATCTCGGAGTGTATATGTTCTTTGGCAAATCTCTCTGGAAGAACAGTATGATCAGCACTTGCTTACACTGGTGACAGTGAAAGTAAGTTTAATATAGAAAGTATGAGTGAACTAGTTTTTAACTCGATAGTAAGTGGTATACAAAGCTGTATTTACAGTGGCCATCTCTAGTGGTTTGATTTCTTCTTGATTTCACCGTCTATATAATGTGGAAGATTTATGAGTCAGGTTGGTAAATGTTGAGAGTAATAATGTATCTGTTTACTCAATGCAGTCGAAGAAATCAAAGCGTAGATTGAGACAGCCTGGACTAGTACCACCAGCATATGCCAAAACCATGAAGAAACTCAACTTCTGCAATTGAGAGATAGGAGAAACAAACACTTCAGTCTTTTCCAGATAATTTGGTCACTGGTACCCAAAAATTGATATTATCGAACGTTAGTTACTTTTTGTTTTGTTATTGTTTCAGTTTTAACCTTGTTGCCAATTAATAAATTGGCATTTTGGTCCTTTTCTCAGGGTTTTAAAAAATCTGATGAAACTTTCTTTTTTCTTTGAATATACCAAGTTATAAAGATTGGTTGATTTCGTTGAACTGGAAAATATTTGCTTACACTAGCCAATTTACCAACCAATTTGTCGGTTGGTTCTTTATTGGTTTGTGTATTTTAATTGAATTGTCAATTTATCAAAAATCTTGTAGTATTTGTCTATATATTTGTAAATATTGCTTAAAGTTTGATGTCATTCAGTATATAATTTGCTGGATTTTGACAAGGATTTGATTTTTAGCATTTCATAATGTTTCTCAAACTAAAAATATAATGATGCAGTTAAAAAATTCCACATTATACTTTGAATTTACAAATGTAAACAGATTTTCTTGAGTTTTGGTAATGACGACAACGTCGACAAGTATACAATACAACAAATGAGTCTCTAGTCTCTACCCTCTCGAAGCGGCCATCGTGCCACCTGCCACGTGTATATTATGAGTGGGTCCCAATCCAACAAACGTAAAGACAAAAGGCAAGAGATTGAGAGAGGAGCAGGTCCACGTGTTCATATAAATTTACCATTATGCCCCCACCGTCGAACATGTGACTTTCAGATTATTCTATTCTCCTTGTCCACCGGCGAATATTCCACGCTGGCAGTCTACGTGACATGCTCGCCCCATGCACTTTCGTTTCGTAATCATTTTATAATTTTTCTTTGCTTTTAGAATACCATTAAGTTATTGAATTATTGAATCATTATTATAACTTTTTTAAACAACCAAACACAAATTTAAAAGTTTTGTGTCGCTCTCTCGGTGAGCAGTAGTCTTGACTCTTGACGCGCCGCTCAACATGTATTGCTCCCTCGTCGTAAAAAGTTTTTCTTTATTTTCTTCGACTTTAAAACGATTTTATTTTTTGCCAACAATACAAAACCAATGTTCCCCTCTCAATCAGGGAATCGAATTAGGAGATTCAAAGGAAGACTAGCTTTTAAAAGATCCCATGATTCGTCACTGGCTCAACACACACTCTAAAAGAAAACAATATAACGAACTATGAGCATGAATATATTTAATTTGATTGATATTATTCGGTTTCGATCGATATGTAACGAAGTTTGGCTGAACTATTTTTCATGTTTATATTGTTTCCTCAAGTTCAAGAAAACAAATATCCGACGCCATATAGATGCGTGTCCGACAACTCAAGAAATATAAATCTATACTACGATTCATAAACAAAAGGACCAACGTGGAGAGAGATTTGATTGTATGGGAATGAGACAAAAACTTTAGTCATCAGTTACTTTGGTTTTAAAAATTCATAAATCTAACATTAAATTATACAAATTTAAAATTTTAACTCGGAAAACTATGTTCTTTAGACATTATAATCTAGTAGTAAACAAATATGCATGATGCAGGCCATGTTCCTCTCTCCCATGTTACGATTTTAATTTTTTTTTTTTTAAACACACAACTGATCATAATCTACGCGTTCATCTACTTTTTTACTTAACTAATAGCTTTTAGTTTTCTCGAATTCGAGCATTTGACAAGAACTCTATTATCAATCAAACCTGCTCGAACAATATATAGATGATCGGTCTTTCATTTTTTTTTTTTTATAAAATTTATACAACTTTAAGAAACTAAAAAACAAAAATCGTATAATACTACAACAACGTTGTCTCGTTGCCGCTGGCCATTTCCACGGCGGAAAAGCTGCCGGCGAATTTAGTGAGAGAAAACAAAAAAACAGAAAATGTATAGTAGCTTTTTAATATCTTATATAACTTTATTTGTTATATATATATATTAAATATAAATTTTTAAAAAGAGAAGGTTGACGTTAGATGACGAATCATGTCTCCACTTCTTCTCCTCCTCCACCATCATCACCGCGACGACTTTTTATTCTCTCTCTCTCTACCTCTCTTTGTCATCTTCTCTCTCAGATTTTCCTGAAAAATAGTTTTCTCATCTCTTTTCTTCTTCATCACCTACTCTCTCTCTCTCTCTCTCTCTCGTCCTCTTGTTGCCGATTTCGGCACTTTCTCTTTTCCTAATTCCACTCGCATTCCCGTCTCCAACAAATTCGAATTTCTTCCACTTAGATTCCCCCGACGAAGAAAATTTCGGAGCTTTTCATCTTCACGTTTACGTTTCCTCCTCCCGATCTCATATCGCCCGGAAGAGGAAATTCCTTGTGCGTTCCGCCGCGGATTTTCCCGCCATTATTTATTTTGATCGGAGAAAAGAAAAATAATAAAAAATGGAGAGAGTGAATCTTGGAGGTTTAGGTTACGAAAATGGCGGAGTCATGATGACTAGAGATCCTAAACCGAGGCTGAGATGGACCGCCGATCTCCACGATCGCTTCGTCGACGCCGTCGCTAAGCTCGGTGGCGCAGACAGTAAGCTCCTCCTTCCTCTTCTACTTCTTTTAATTAAATGAGAAAAATGAGAAAACCAGTTTCACATTATGATTCCGGTTTACTCCGGTTTGGTTGGTTTATATCGTCGTCTCTGTTGTAGATTCAGTTGCATGTGCAGAATGAGAAAATTTATTTCTCTAATTCCTCGTTGATAACTTTGTCCTTGCTTAGAATTTAATTGATAAAAAAATCTTTAGAACAAAAAAAAAGGAACTTTAAGCAATGTAATGATCTGGGTTGCTCAATGTCTTGTGTTCTTTGTTTGATCTGCAGAAGCAACTCCGAAGTCGGTTTTGAAGCTGATGGGATTAAAGGGCTTAACACTTTACCATCTGAAAAGCCATTTACAGGTTCAATTTCCATCTACATACACATATACTTATAAAATATACGAAATTTGAATATATATATATATATAAGTATGTGTAATATAATGTTCTGAATTTATTGTGACGATTTAACATAATTATCAATGATGTGTTTGTGTGTGTAGAAGTATAGACTTGGTCAACAACAAGGGAAGAAACAAAATCGAGCAGAACAAAACAAGGAAAATGCTGGTATATATATGATCATATCAAGAAAACAAGCTTTTTATATAATTCAGTGTAGATATATAAATGCATGTTGGATCTCAGGACATTTGTTTTTGTTTCACAGGAAGTTCATATGTGCATTTTGATAATTGTTCTCAAGGAGGAATCTCAAATGAATCAAGATTTGATAGTCATCACAGGTATTAACACCACTCTAATGTCAATGAACTTGTAAATTTGTTTTGGATATGTATATCTGGTTTGAAAAAATGTTAATCAACACTCGCAGACAAAGCGGGAACATACCTTTTGCAGACACGTTGAGACACCAGGTCGATGCGCAACAGCGGTTTCAAGAACAGCTCGAGGTAGGTAACAAGAAAGGAAGCAAAACTCTTCTTTGTTCTATTAAAACCAATCAAGAAGCAATATGAATCTTATGTCTTTTTGCGGTGTGTAGGTGCAGAAGAAACTTCAGATGAGAATGGAGGCACAAGGAAAGTATTTATTGACGTTACTAGAGAAAGCTCAGAAGAGCATGCCCTGTGGTGGTAATGGAGCAGAAACAGAGAAAGGTCAATACTCAGATTTCAATCTCGCAATTTCAGGACTTGTAGGAGATGATCATAAGAACGAAAAGGCGGGTTTGGTTACCGGTATCTCACACGTTAATGGCGATTTGTTGACCGAAGGTTTTCGATTATGTGGAGAAAGAGAGAAAGAGGAAACCGGAGATGTAGGTGTTAAACCGGAATCCGGGTTTGTGCATTTTGATTTGAACTCAAAAAGTGGGTATGATCTATTGAATTGTGGGAACTATGGGATTGAAATGAAGCCAAATGTGATTGCAGATAGACATCAATAGGTTAAAGAGACATTTTCTTTCATTTGTTTTTTTTTTTTTTTTTTTTTTTTTTTTTGTTCTTAGAGAATGTTACACATTGGCTTCATGTTTTCTTCAGAGGCAAATATCATAACCTTTTTGAAGTCTGACCACTGAAGCAGTGTTATAAAAAGTCAGATACAAGGAAATACCTGTTTTTTTGAAAGAAACGCTAATTAAGTTATATATATTGCCCTGTGGTATTGCGTTTAATCGAGAAGGTTACGTATAAGTCAAGGGAAAGAAGATTGAAGTTTAGAAAAAATGAGTTGGTCCTTTCATTAGTTATTAAAACAAACTCAAATGATTCTATCAAATGCTAAATCATCATCAATCATCATAAACTACTAATTGTTCTTATCATAATGCTTTAAGGGCATCGTCTGAGACGAGGAAGCCTTCAGTCAGTTGCAAATTTTTGAGATTCTGATAGTATTAAGTATGTTATTTCCATGAAAGTGAAACAAAACAGTTGGACACAGTGTAGACAGTATCTCATGCATTCATGTTGCTTAATTTTGTATAAAGTAAAACAATTGATCGCTTTTACATTACTTCTTCATTTCTCACTATAATGTAACAAATAGATAGATGAGAGAGAAAAAGGAAAGAAAAGAATAGACAGTGTATATATAAGGAGACAAAGACCAAACATGAAGTTGATGTAAAGCTTTTAAGTAAAGACTTCGAAGAGAGGAGGCTTGAGGGACTAATCTGAATCCAACTTGGGAACTATAGCCGATGATAGCTCGATATGAGAAACCCTCACCGCTCCGATTAGTCTCTCCGGCAACTCTTCCGGTGTATTCGCCTACAAAACGCAATCTCGTGATCATCCAAAACATTTCAAGAGGAGAAGACGCAATCTTAAAGATTCAAAGTGTTCAGTTTCTTTAGATTGATTTTACCTGTACAAGGAAAGCCATTTCGACAACCAAAGATGTGATCACGCCGATGACAAGACCGAGAACTCCATTTGCGACAGTGGATGATCCGATATCTACGTCTATCTATACATGAGAATGAAAAAAAATGTTTCTTTTTGAGTTACTTTTTATGTCTAAGAGATTTTTTAAAAAAGCTTAACAAGATTTGGACTCACTTCTAAATATGTTGGACCACGGATGTAGTTGCAATCCACTGCTTTCCCGAGGAGACATGGTGTGCTTCCCACGCTTTGCCTTACTATCCATGAACCCTGTATTATTAAGTTATTTTAGAGTTTTACGTAAGGAGAAAGAAAGAGAGAGAGAGAGAGAGAGAGAGAGAGAGAGAGAGAGAGAGAGAGAGGAAGAGAGCGAGAAAGAGAGTGACCTTGGGGACTAAAGGTATAAGCTTGAGTCTACTATTCCGAAACTCGTCATCACCATCAACAAATCGTTGGAAGAGGGATCCAGGTACGAGTTCTTTTGCCACGAAATAGAATACCATACTGTAGTGTGTTGATCCAGGAACCTACCAAAACACCAGTTTAAACATCCATAAAAAAAAGTAATTTTGTAGTTTGTGTACATTACGTTGTAGTTCATCAGCAAAACTTACTTGAACGTTTACTACCAATGAGAAAAGACCCTTCTCTGCAGCAACCTGAACAAAATTTTCGAGACATTTAATAATATTGTAACTGGAATCTTCCAAGTGAAGAACAAGAGCACTCAATTCTATAGAATAGCGTGGAAAAGGGATAATAACATCTCCCTTGAGACTAACGAGGAACTTGAGAAACAAGATTATAGGTGATTGTATCTCTTACTTGTGCTGCACAACCCTTGCGTCTAACCACATGATCCATTCTTTTAGCATCTTTGAACCAATCGACGGCGACTAGATCCATTAGATGCTTACCAGCAGGAATCTTCAGAAAAATGTTGAATGATCAGATTCGAAGAGTAGTACTCCGGTGTACCAAAAATGTCAAAAACATTACTAACCTTCCTTTTGTCATCACAGAAACTCTTGCCACGGACTTTGAAGTTGTTCCCATCAGAGATCCTCCAGCAGTTACGGGCATTTTCGTTATCATCGTGTCTTAAATTACCCGAGAAGCAAGACAGATCAATGTCGAGAGCAGGTTCCTCGTCTGAGGTTTCAAATGGCACGAGAAATTTATAGCAATTAGATACATTTTCAGTGGCTCAGGTAGAACTTATCCATTAACAATAGGACACAACTCTCAACTTCACCTGTTTTCTTGCCGACAGTCTCCGGTTTACTCGTTTCAGGCTGAAATGGTTAAAATGTGTAAAAGGACTTAATCTGATTAAAAGAGAACTATATTCAAAAGAAAATGGTTGATAAGGCCAACCTCCTGTTCTGATTCAGCAATCTGAAACTCGTCATCGTCATCCGAGTCTTCATCCATTACCACAGAGTTTCTGTTGGCCCCATTTGTTTGATCCATAGAAAGGGAAGACTTATGATGAGTCTTTTCACCTTTACCTAATGCTAAGGAAGAAGATGCCATATTAACCATAACAGGGATCCTGATTGGATGACCTCTATCATCTGTCTGCGAGAACCACTCGCGCAAACCTGTGATGAACATGAATCTATGACTTATAATGGCAGACGCATAAGCACGGTTTCAAGAACAGCATAAGTCATTTTCCAACAGAGATTTCAGTGGAAATGAACAACAAAAGAATTTACCCGAAACACTGTTCAGCATTTGAAGAAGACAATGTTGTTGAAATGCTGGAAGATAACCTGAACCCCACCCTTTTAGATCGATTTGTATAAGATGTTGCACTTGTGTTCTAGGCCTTCCATTTCTAGGCTTTAGTGGGGCGATGTTAAATCCTCCACCTTAACAAGAGAACGTAAACTGAGTTAGATTGCAATACATGATAGTATATTAGAAGATTTTGGTGGCAAAGGACTTAAGCATGAAAAGAGAAATGCTAAACTTACTTTCAAGATGGGCACGAACAAATCCAGGTTGTGGACCACAATTCTCATGCTCCCTAGAACGAAACAATACCACTTCACAGAAGGAGCAATATAAACTATTAAAACTTGATATATAAACGAGGCTGTCCAGTTTCTAGCATAATCAAAAGGGAAAGGGATAATACCATAACTTCCATCGTCATTACGACGCCAATAACGTACATAGCAGAGGTCACGAGGCCACACAACCCTGCAGAAGATTTAGTTGAATTGAATCAAGTCACTACTTTTGTGAGTATTTATTAAATGATTATTTTTGTAAGTGTAATATTACATTGGAAACCAGTCGAGTAGAAGTCTGTGATAGAGTATTGCAGTGTGACCATCCACCTCTTCCACTAATCTCCCATTATGGAAACTGCAGTCCCACCTGCCAAACCATAAAAAAAGATGGAAAACAGAGAGCTTCAGATCACAGACCAGAATACAAGAAAAAAACTTTCGCTTACATAGTATTGATATAAAGTTTGGGGTAGACATTATCGTAGAGGGTGTGTAAACATATAAAAATGAAGATTCCAACATTAGTGACAATATTTTACAAAATTACCCTAATAATTTTTTCCAGATAATAGAGTGTCTAACTATTAGAGAATGAAGAAAAAGGAACCATAAAAGTGACCTCTTGTAACCGGAATATGAATGAGAATACCTACTCATATCGAGTGCCGTCCATGCTCATCACAAGCTTGAATATTTCCTCACATGTGGCCTCCACTACACCAACAGCCTTCATTGCCCTGCTGCAGCTTCTTGGCTGCATGCTTAGCAATGTCAATGATGGTTCTTGACTATATAATACTAATATGTAATCAACAGGCAATTATGCCATAGAAATGACAAGCTATTAGACCCTTCCATACAAGATAATCAACTTCAAGAAGCTCTTCAAAAATTCGTAGACCTGCCAAATGTATAAAAAAAAAGAGAGAACATTAAGCCCAAAACCGAGCTCTATCAATATATTACAGGCACACATGTCTTATAGGCATTTGGAGGGAAATATATTCAAAAACTTCCATATGGTAAGTCGTGACATTTTGTAATGTACAGGGGAAATAAAATAAATAGATTGACTTGCAGAAGTTACACTAACCATTTTGACACTGAAGGAGACGCCAGTGTTTTCTTGAGAATGCTTGGTTGCTGGAATTCTGGTTGGACAACTCAACATCAAACTCTTTAGTCCAGTCAAATATAGATTCTGGAGGTCCTGTATGTTTTTTGAAGGTTATCAGATTACATTCAGGATCGCACCTGACCAAATTAGTTTATGAAGAAATGAATTAGGAATAACCATTTCCAATAGTCGTCCTCCTCAACAAATCACGCCGAGACTCATCTTCATCCTCCAGCGCACTGTACCTAAAAAGATTGTAGATATTTTTTTCGGATAAATATAGGTATATAAGAAAACAATGTAAAACCTCAAGAGAAAGAATATTATCAAACGATATTGGTCACTTCACACATGCAGCACTATATTAGCATCTTCTAGCATCAATAACTTTCTCAGAAAGAGTCAGAGCAAACACAACCGAAGTGAAAAAGTCATACTATGGTTATGATTGATAATTAACTTTACTATTCGAATCTAATAGGATTAATAATCCAGTTTTTTCAAGTATTATCATCATGATCGCCACAAACCACACCCTCCTTTTGCATAATATAGATCACCATTCTCAACACAGGTCATATATACTCTCTGTAAAGGAAGAGAATAGTACTCAGTGAACAAGAACTTATGATCAAGGCAGCGAAATCATATAATCAAGAAAGTCGGGAAAGTGAGTAATTCGCTAGTAAAATCAAGATGCCTGCAGAAATAAAGACGTATAGCACTAACGGGCTTTCATGATCTGAAGATGAAGCAGTCCTTCCAACATCCATTCCAGGCTTATATTCAAAAGAAACATATTGCTGACCACTTGGAACTAGGGACTCTTGATGCTGCAACAACGCAAAACACAGACAGAGAATCAGAGAAGCACCAATCTTCAGATTCAAACGGTTGCAGATAAATAACACAGGCAGATAAATATAACAGTAGCATAACGCAATAATAGTTACCCTATGAATCAAGATAGAATATTTTTGTGAGTCAGGGATTGTGAGACAGAATTGACTGACCTGATCTATGA